AACATAATTAAACAAAAGATCTGACTTTATTTTAAAATGAGGACAGGAAAAATCATTCAAATAATACAAATGTATAGTTTAATAGCTGTGGTCACCTGTTAGGATGTTGTAATGACTTACCTACCAGCAGATTTACTTCTTTAAGGATATATCTCTTAAATAAAAATGTAAATCCCATTCCATTTAAGAGCTGTACTCCACTGGCTTACCCTGGAACCACACCATATACCACATTTCACCTTTGGGAGGCATTGTATATACAGCTAAACATTCAGCAGGGAAAGCCAGCAGGGACAGGGAAACATAATGGGAACATCAATTTGTGGTCAGATATCTAAGGGAAATATTTATCTTTCTGGTACTTGGCAAGGGATGTTGAAATTGGAGCTTCTAATGTATTTTACAGTCTTTGGCTTGGATGGGACTTAATCAGCCTTTGATGGATTTTACAGTAAAAAAAGTGATTAATTTTTAAAATATTTTGCATCTATCTTTATTACTGTAGGGGGTCTTCAGTTTCTTCATTCTTGTTCTCCTGTCTGTGAGTACAGTGTATTTGCACGTCTTTGGATTGGCAAGACCTTCTCTGTGAAAGTGATAATGATTTTTAATACAAGTTTGAAATCAGAGATTTTGATTATCTGATCATGAGTCATACTGAAGCCTGATTATTAGCCAAATAAAAAAAAGCATTATCAGTAGTGTCATTCAAATAATTTATCATTGACTGAATGTTCCATCTAAAAATGGCTGTCAGATGAATTTATGTCAAGTTACTTTATTTATATATTGTCACTTTCAATACCCCCACATTTCAGATTAACTAATAAGCCATTCATTTTCTAAATCCTTCTTCTAATTCAGAGGTCATGGGGGACCTGGAAGAATGGGTCCAAAGCAGAGTGCACCCTGGACAGGATGGCAGACACACAGACACGCACACACCCACTCCTGGGCCAGATTTCCCAGCAGCCAATTCACCTACCAGTATGTGTTTGGACTGCTGGAGGAGACCCACGCGAACACGGGGACATCATGCAAACTCAACACAGATAGAACCCCTGGAATTCAATCCAGGGCCCCAGCACTGTGAGGCAGCAATCTATGGCACCGCAGTGACCCCAGTTAACTAATAACAACACCTTTTGTTTTTTAGATATTTCTGTGTTCTTCTTGGTGCATGTCCAAAGGCCCAACACAGCTACCCTGACACCGGAAAAAGACACATAGACCACAACACCAGTTACAAAACAGAGCTGGCATAAATTGCTGTATCAGGTCCTGATACAGATTGTCAAACATATGTTTTCTGGGAGAAATAGGCAATCCTCTTATGTTTAAAAAAAAAAAGACTGGTCTCTGTATAAATTATCCAGGTACTATCTGTCTCCTGTGTTCCCTATGAGAATAAAGAGAAGAAGCTAATATGATAATGTTTCAGTTTTTGTCTTCAGTGTTATACAGTAGATATAATAAAGTTGGAAATAATATTAAGCAGTGGCTTTCAACCACATGGAATTTCCTTTTTCATTCTTGTTCTTTTTTTGCACAAAATATTATTTGATGTGAATCCTGTGACTTATCTACAGCCTCATAAAATGTGGTGATTCCTTGTAGGGTTGTCCATGTCAGGGTGCAGATGAGATAGATGTGCATTTAAAGCAATGAAAGGTTTTCCTGTCTTCCATTGTTCATATTATTAATCTTTGTGTTCATTCTTTTAATCTGGTCAATCTGTCATATATCTGTCTGACTGCCTTATTTAATCTGTGTATTCTTCAATCTGTCTGTCTCTGATTACAAATTAATGAAGGCAGGGATGCATTTATCCACACATCAAGAACAAAAGGACTGGTGCTCGTAACACATTTTTTTTTGTGTTTGGAGATTGTATAGCTACCAGATGTAGTCCGTTGTGTAGCACTTCCACAAGCTGTTTTCTGCAAGTGAGCCCTTTTGCATGCAACACCTGTATAAAACAAGAATCATGAGTGTAGCTATTTATTTAGGATTGCTTAAGGCATTTTAAATTTTATTTTTGATCAACTCATACATTTTTTATTCTTTTTTTTATTTTGTTCATTCTTGTAGTTTTTTTCTTTATTGTGATTGGTGAATACTAGTGAGATTTTAACCATTCAGGACAAATGTGAGAGACAACTGCAGTGTGTTCTAGTAAATGCATGGATGATGAATGAAGAGGATTTCAATGTGATCGAATGTTGTGTCATTTTATATTTGAAAATGTGAAACTCTCTAAGAATATAAGATTCAGACTGGACAGTCTAGCACATTTGAGACACTTTTCTAACTAAATTAAGAAATATGATCAATACTGAGGTCATAATCTGTTGACTAAGAGGGGTATTTAGTTACAAATAACAAAAAAACTAATTCTAAATGCTGTAATAAATATGGATAGAACTAATTTTAGAAGCTGGTGCTTTAGTTAAGTGTTGGTTGTGAATGTAAAATCAGGTTTTAGGGTATTTACAATGCACTAAATGCAGCTAATACAGGTTTCAGTTTTAAAAACACCTTATACTTATATTTCAGATTTAAAGACTTTTAGATTTAAGTTTAATACACCATGTATTAAATAAAATTGTTTATAATGAGATATCATTGTTCACCGAGAAGAAACTCACATTTATAATCAAATATTGAATTACTTCGTGTTTTTCTTCAAAATAAAAAAACTGTATTAAGTGACTATCACCGATTTCGTATATAGATATTTATCTAGATATATATTGTATATGTTACGCCAGTAGCACAGTGGTGCAGAGGTTAGCATTGGTGCCTCGCAGCACTGGGACCCTGCGTTTAATTTCGGACCTGGGTTGCTATCTTCGTAGAGTTTGTATGTTTTCCCCATGTTTGTGTGGGTTTCCTCCCACGATCGCAAGACATAGTGGTAGGTTAATTGGCTTCTGTGAAAACTGGCCCTGGTGTGAGTGTGTGTTTGTGCCCTGGGATGGATTGCGATGACATCCCCTCCAGGGTGTTCCCCGCCTTGCTCCTGTTGCTTGCCGGGATAGGCTGCTGCTCCCCAGCAACCTTAAATTGGAAGAAGTGGATGGATATATATTTATCATGCTATCAAATATCCGAAACGTCTTTCTTAAATTAGAATTTTTGGTTAGTTGAGACCTTTTAATCATTTATACCAAAGTGAAATTGCTTCTGTCCTAAACAGTTCAATATTACTTAAATTTAAGTCAGGGGCGATCTTCACATCGTAATTCTGAAGCATGACTGCTACAAGGATCTCAATTGCTGTAAGATATCAGGTTAGACACTGAGAAGGTATCCAAAGCAGTTGCATCTTTAACCTATTGTACAGAGATTTTAAGAGGAGCATTGGCAAGTACCCAGTCAGGAATTGTGTTTCTACAAGCACAAGTTCATTTTTTGTCCAGGCATACAGTATGTACTGTATAGTTCAATGCTCATAAAACTTAGAAGCAAGAATAGTGTTAACTAACTCCAGAAAACATCTTGTTCAAAGATGAAAATTGGCTGTGTGCAGACAGAACTAATGCAATTAATTAATTCTTTTTGAGGACAAAAATGTAAGAGTGTTTCTAATTAACGCTCAAAAGAAGGTGTTGGTTGACAAAGGCAAAATTGAAATACAGTATGATCTCACTGGTGGGACCTCAAATTCAAGCTTTAAGTTTGGATTTATTTTATTATTCTTATGTTTGTTTTTACATCCAGCCATACCCGGGTTAGTATAGCTTTGCATCTTAATACGACGGAGGAACAAGGAGGTCAAGTTTGTTTTTATTTTCAAAGCAAAAAGCGTCCCAGCTTCCAGACCTAACCACCTGGATCCAGTAACCCCTTAATATTAAATAACCATGGAGCCCTTTGCATTTTGAGACCCCTTTGCCTACTAGGAATTGCTTTAGCCCGTGTTCACCAACTCTGGAATGATTTCAGCAGTAATCCTGTGAGAGCCAGAGGGCACAAACTGTGAAACATCAAAAGGGCCTGTTGGCTGCTGGACAAATTCTGGAAGCCAATTTTTCAGCCAGTGCACTATGCCTGGGCGCCAATGTTTTGTCCCTTCTGTGTCAGAGAGTCGGGTGGAGGGGGTGTGAGTGGATTACTTTGCACTGACTGCTGGTTGTGTTGAGACCTGAACTTTCAGCTTAAGATGTGCCAAGTTGTGTGCGGCACTTTGCTGGTCACCCCATCAGGGAATCTTTGTTGTCAGCGACTGGGTGCAGTTGTTGATCCTCAGATATGTGGTAGAGATGTCGAAAATGTCAGCAGCTGGTTTCTCCACAGTCCTCCCTGCTCCAACTGGAACCAGTCAGGAGGTGGGGGCTGAAGGCTGTAAGCAGCTTTTTTTTCATATGGTTCAACAGCAGCTTAAACCTTGTGCACATAAAAAGTAATAGAGAAAATAAAACCGCTTTGTTATGTGCTTATGTCACGGCCGGCAGCTGTAAGCACAAAGGTTGAATTCAGCGCAAACAGTCAGCAGGCCTCACGTGAAGGTGTGTGATAAAAATATTTTCATGAAGTGCATTATGTGAATGTTTGTGTCTTTATTTTCTGAATAAACTAGCCTACTAAAGCGGCAAGCCCTGGATATTAATCTTATTTGCTAAACACTCCTTTGATTTGGTGACATTGAAACTGGGCCAATTTAGCCAATATATCTAAAGCAAATCAATGAAATAAATATAATTCTGAAAGCAACAGTGATGATGACTGTTTTGCCATTAATCAAAAAAAATATTGTGCTTACATCATGAGCCTCATGTTTATAGATATGAGTCTGTGTCGGCCTAGCATTTATGATCTCCTTGTGGTAATAGGTGTGTAAAAAAGATTTTATGTATTATGTCTTTCTGTATATGTGCCAGCAAAAACAAAAGAAGTAAATGGAATTTTGTTTCCACAGACAGGAATACTCATGGGTTTGTATAGGTACTACCTTGTTAATTCTATTTTATTTATTAGTTAATTTTCATATTTTGCAGAGCAAGTTGGCCAGGAAATTTTAGAAAATCTCCACCTTGACAGAGAAAAAATACAGAGATCCAGAGACCGGGTGAGTTTCTCGTCTATTGTATTTAATCTCTAATTATTTCTGTTTAGGTGGTTGAAATAAAAAGAGCTTCACACAAATCCTCAATACTAACAGTTGCTTAAGATGTAAAATATAAATATGTTATCTTCCTACTATGAAGAAGATATTATGTTTCTGTTATTATATTATTGTAGTTGTATTCCAGAGGGAGAACTTTCCAAAGCTGCTTAGGAATATTTCTCCAAACTGATTTGATTTTTAGACCTGCTAGTATTATCCACACATGCTATACTCTGCTTGCATGCAGCCTTTGCAGTCAGACAATGTGTAAGAAAGAAACGCTATAAATTCAGTCTGATTGTAAAGGCTTGTTTCATCTCCACCATATTTGATATTTGTTCCTTACACACTTAATTTTTGACATACTGTAAGTGTGCAATATACAGCTTGACAGAATAAGTACAGTACTTCAGATTTAGATTCTTTATTGTGATTTGTCAATACATATGTAATTTTAATCATTTAGGAATCCTGCTTTGCTTTTTTTTATTTCCTTTTGAGTTTTTTTTTGTTATTCCTCATTTTTTGCATTTCCACAGGACAGTTGTGAGAGTGCAGTCTAACTAATATAGACTATACATGTATGGTGAATTAGAACATAAAATCACAAAATGTTCTGTCATTTTTAATTTGATATGTGAAACTTTCCAAGAGTACAAGATGACTGTCTAGCACATTTGAGTTACATTTCTCAGTTGAGAAATATCAGCAATATTGAGTTCAAAATGTGGTATTTAAAAATGTATTTATGTATTACAAAAAAAATTCTAAAATTCAGAAGTTGATCTGGATATACTACTAGATTTTGAACATTCAATTATGACTTTGGCTACTTACGATGGATAAGAATATCTTCTTCATGTTTATGCAGCAAGAAGTCACTTGTACTCCAGATATTTTAGCTCAAGGCCTATTCACAATATATATTCATATTCACAATATGAAACATACGCCTACATTTTAAAGCCCCAACTTGCATTAAGCTATCGCTGTGTTTATCTGTCTTCCATAACACTTTTTGATAAGACACATGCAATATTGGCACTCATGAGGTAAATATGGAAGCTTTTGTCTCATTGAGTTCGGAAGGGGGGGATCAACTGTGCATTAATAACTTCTGGTGCAAAGTCACTTCCTTGATTTTACTTCTCAACTAAAAGAAGATAAATAACTGACAGTGAGTCAGCAGTAGGGCCATAGTACACAGTTTGAATCGTATGGACACAAGACCTTTTCTTAGGATCTGGGGTACCTAGCCTCATTTATATATGAATTTAATATTTTGGAAAAATATGAAGAAACAAGTCCCAGATTCTAAACCTTAACACACTGAAAGAAGATGGTTCATTTGATAGGACTGTTGTGAGGTTAAAATAGATACTTTGTATTTAAGAAATTAGCATTTCTGTTTCAAATAAAATTATTTGTGTTTCTTTAACCAAGACATTGATTGTGTATTCAGTCATATTATTTGCTTTAATAGTTGCTTAGCTTTTATTGTATTTTAGTTTGGAAATGTTCAAACATATTTGTAAAGCACCACCAAACAAACGATCATCTCCAATCCCATTTTTGCAAAAAGAACAAAATAAAAGTGATACTATTGAATGCAAGAAGCATTTTTATCAATATAAAGAGCACACTCCCTAAAGCAAAATAATAAGTAACAGAATAAAATAAAATCTGATTTTCAGGAAATTAGGACTGATGCTCTCCCCGTGCAAATTAAATTATTTTTTTTAATGCAGTTGTGAAATTGAGGTATTGAAGGCTCATACCATGGGTGAGAAGGCTCATACCACGGATGATCATGGCACATCAGAGAAGTGATATTCTCTCTGAACAACTGCACGCCTTCTCAAGCATTTCTTCCTCATGTAAAACACAAGCTAGAGTCGTCCACTTTCCATATTGTGGTATGCTCTTAGAACTCAGACATCATCTGCTAACAGTGGATTCATTCTCCATCAGAAGAGAGATCCAATCCTTTTGTGATATGTTTCCAATAGCTGTCCTTACTAGGCAGATGTAAAATTGTCAGATCCCAGTTAGGGGCCATCTGAAATGCTTTTTATGAAGAACGGTTAAAGATCACAACATGTCAGTTGGCATTGCAGACTATTTCAAAGGAAATAAAACATTTCCTTTCAAAGGTCTGCTGTCTACAGAGAATAATGCACTCCCATGAGTCTAGGCTGGCCCTCCCCAAAGGATGTTTTGCCTGGTAAAAATATAAATGTTGCGATAGAAGTTGTAACATGAGTGTTAAACTGTATGTTTTGCATCTACAGTAAGTAAAAAAACAACATAGTTAAGGCAGTAGTGTTCAGCAACAAAAATAACATTTGCTGTGAAATGAACATTCTTAGATTAATATTAAATGAACATTCTTAATGTCAATGAAATAATCTAATATAGTTCTTTAGAAGATAGTGCAGGGAATTTTCTGTGGCATAAATTCTCAGAAGATAAATCATACAGCAACATTTTTAAAAATGTTGATATGCATAAATAAGGCTTTAAATTAAATGTTCTTTTCAGCATTGGTTTTTCTTCTTTACTGTATATAAGGCATATGGCTCGAGTTGTATTAGTGATTGTGATTTTCATTGTAGGGAAGCCCCATAGTATAACATGCATTGAATGAAGCCTTGTATTTAACTTGTGGAATGTTAAAAACACAATCAGAGTGATAGCAAGAGACAGTGCTATGCCTTCCAGGTAGGCATTAAAAACAAATGTTGTGACCAGCTTTTCAGCTAAAGTTGGAGACAATGTAGGACATAGTTTGGCAATATTTCTGAGATGGTATAATTATGTTTTTACAATGTTTTGTACATGTGATTCTAATGTCATGTCTGAATCACATATCACCCCCAAGATCTTCAATTTCCATTGCAATTCAAGTGCAGTGCCATTAGACAGATAGGGTACTGCGTTACGATTTACAACATTAATGGGGGGATGCTAAGAAGCATGACTTCAGTCTTATTACAGTCATGTTGTTACATGTTGTTTTGAAGCTGGCTCAATGGATCCATCATTATTGTATTAGGTGGGGTGAGTATGCAATTCAGCCAGAATATTATTTTATTTACACACAGAACACAGGTTCTTCAATATAATCAAGAACACTTTTTCATCCCTATCTGTGGACAATCAATCTGCTATCCAACTCTCAAAACCTAGTCTTTTTTTATTGAGAAATGACCAGTCTTGCCTCTTGTATCTCAGTGGTCTGTGTTTCATCATCTTCATTCCTGCCCTTCATTGACAGCTTTGGTGTCCTTCCTCCCCAAGGAAGTTTCAGTTTTTCTTTTCCTGTTGTCCATCACACTATCGGATCCCGACGGCCAGCATGAATCTCTGTTTGACCCCTTTTCTCCTGTCCATTACTCTCCAGCCTTGGAAAAATACCTTTTTTGTTTTCCTTGAGTTTATTTGCCTTTCACATGACCCCTGACTCTCTCTCTCTGCCACATGAGGATTGGAGAATCCTGGAGTTTGTAGTTCTCTCCTGGCTCTTCCAGAACGCTGGCAGTGACGTGGCAGTGATCTCTGACTCCACTATTTGGCTCGGAGCAAAATGCAACGCAGGTGTCAGACTGTGCTTTTGTAAAGATTCAGATTTTGACACGTTGAAGATGTGAAACATAAGAAGAATGTTAAGAATTAGCATTTTAAACCATTCATTTCTGAATGAAACATTATTGTATATATTAAATACAGGGTGATATATAATATTATACATATTTTAAACATAACCGTATATTAGGTTAATAAAAAGAGCATACTTTGACTATTTTATTAGAAAATTTCATTTTAAGCCTTTAGATTTTATTAGATGATTATACTGTATCTTGTTCCATTAGTAATACATATACAAATGGTTGTTTTTTTCTCTTTGCTGAATAATGAACATGTAAAGAGGTATGCAGCAGCAGGAAGACGTGCTTTTACCAAACCTAACTGCTAGATATTCATATCCCTGACCTGCAAATGAAGTGATGCCATCCATGCTGTAGCTGTTTCTATAATGTTAATATAATATGAAATAAAACATATGCCCCTTTGTCTGCTGGAAGTGTCCTTCACCTTTCTTGGCCTCACTTTTTAAGGCTTTAGCTTAAATCTCTGCATACGAGACAATATTAAATAATTGTAAATGCCCGCGCAATGATGCAGCCCATTTAGAATCTGACTCCATCGCAAAAAAGCAAATATAGAGGCAGTCTTCTGGCCTTGTAGCTTGTTTGCTCCTTCGATACTTGCAGGCCCCTGCTATTGCTGTTGGGGGAAAAAAAAGTATTTTTAGGAAGACTGGGAAGTCCCTTGGGATGTATCTATCCTTGAGAGCAAGACATCAGGCGGCTCTTGGACTGGCTTCTTTGCCAAAAACCTAATTCCACCCAAACCACATCTGTGGCGAAGAAGCTGTAGACCAGCGAGAGCTGTCTTGGATTTTATCTCGTGCTGCCAGATATTTTATAGTGCATGACGCCCTGTGGAGTTTTGAAGAGAACTCCTCGCATTTTCACAGGGACGGTCCCATCACAGAAAGCTGATTACACTGAGAATTTTGCGGTTCCCTGTCAGCAGCACTGTCAGCGCTCTTGACACACACATTTTGAGAGTATTCTCTCAGGCGCACCTCCACATTCAGACCAACCTCAAATAAACTGTGATCAGATAACCTCCATTTAATGGTGGAGGACACAGCAGCTCTCATCTCATGAGGTCTGAATACATTAGAGCAGAACGGGGAAAAAATAGACGCAGCATCTGAGACCAGTGGTTCTCTGGTACGTGTCGGCTCTGGGGCTCCCTTTCACTGCAGTCAATAGTTCGGACATCCCTCAGTGATAGGAGAAAAACGCATTTGATTAACGCATTTAAAGCGATGGAGTATAAGAGAAATGGTGACAGTTTTTTTTTTATGCCAACCAGACATTGAAATTAGTAAAGCTGTAATGGTTTCGATCAAGCAGCATTGTTTCAAAGTCCAGTCAGTGGCTGACCAGACTTACTGAAGGTCTTTGAGCTGAAAATTTCGGTGGCATGCATTTTGGAGCAACTGACTATCATTTGTGTTTCATTTAAAATCACACATGAGCCATTCATCAGTTAATGCTTTGAAAGCTGCTAACCACACAGCCACAGCTCTCTTGCCACCTGCTGTCAAGGGATGTTCAAGAAGACCATACCTCTTTCCATCTGTCCTGGCAGTAGTCATCATTGTCCCTGTTACTGCCTCATGTGCTGAGCATCCTTTGAAGGATGTTCGTGCTTCACCATTATGTGAGCTCTAGCCTTCTAAATATGGAGCAATTGATCTTGTAGTACCACTAAAGCCACTTTTATATGGTAGGTTAAAGAACAGGGTACAGATGTCCCCTGACATTTTTCACTGTTCTATGCCTGAGCCATGCTGATATGCAAACAGCGAACTTAGGAGCGGATCTGTCATAATCCACTAAAAAGAAGACAACAGTCAAGGTTTTTCACGACAGTTATATTTTGAATGATAAAGCTTTTATACATGACCAAGCTTTTGTGACCTACCACCTTAACTATTGTAATATTGTGTTCCACAGTGCGTTAAAATTCGTTTGCTTTTTAGATTTTTTTTCTGTCAACACTGGAGGCAGGGGTGTTAAGACACTGACTTGAGGAGATGCTGAGAGAGAATGTGTTTTATATATTTTCAGGATGGGCCTACTACCTATAAGCAGCACAATGTATTTTTCTTTTTCTTCTCTTTTGTAGCTCTTAGCGAACATGCTATTATTTCTCAATTTTGGATGTAGCTCTTTTTAATATTTCTTTAAAAAAAAAACAGTCTGTCTCTCTTGGTAAGCAGTGAGCACAAGGCAGGGTACACCGTGGACGGGACCACACACATTCACACACTCACACCAGAGCCAGTTTTCCCAGAAGCCAGTTAACCTACAGTACCTTCCTCTGGGTGCTCTGGCTAATGGAATCCCATGCAAACAAGGGGAGAACATATCATCTCCACGCAGATAGCACCCCAGGCCCCTATCAATTTTTGAATGGGTAATTTCTTAATTAAACATCTAGTGTAGCACCTGATGCTTACACAGGGAGCTGATACATGGTGTAATGATTTTGAATCAGCAGTATACAGTTTGAGAACCTAATCACAAGTTCCAAAATGGATCTGCTGAGTAGAATTGCTGTATATTGTAGATCCTTTAGTGGGATCTGGTGAGTGCTTCTCTTCAAACATTTATTAATTAACAAACTTACTAATTAATTGTTATTTTTACAGAAAATATTCAGTTGCATTGCAGTCTGCTGTACCACCTTTGTATTCTAATTTAAATTAAAATGTAGCGTTATGTGTTAATATGCCATTATAAGGTGTTTACATATTTTGACAGATGCTTTTCAGTGTCGTTCTAATATATTTGATAAATTGTACTACAGCAAAAGTATTTTTACTCATGCTTAATAAGTTTTCATTTCTACTATATTAATTTATATTACTGACTGAGAAAATGTGGAAAATGGAATTATTAATTTATTCTGGGAAAATGTCCACTGATGAGCTGGTATATTATAATGTATGAACTTCTTAAAGCGCATATCTTCTGGATAACCTCCCTACACTGCCATTACTTAGATTGCAAATGGGGAAAGAGCACTAATTTTCCTGCAAAACTATCATCCATTTAAATTCTTCTAGACTGGATTCCTTCTAGACTGGATTCACTTGGAATAGTTTTATTACAATACATATCACCACCTCTTGCACAGCTCTTTTCCACAATTTTCCACCCATTTTTTTATGGACACTAATTAAACGTTTCACCACAGGCATCATTAAATCACATTTTAACTCATAGTAATACTAGTGGAAATTGTAAATAATATGATTCTGACCCGAATGACCTTCCATAGCCTCTATACCGAATCTACTGTAAGTTCCTAACATGTGCCTTCCCAAGCTTTAGTAATGAGATAGGATAGATTTAAGTGAGCGATTATTCATGTAAAATGCTTAGTTTCCCTCTTGTCTTCTTTTTAAAATTTAAAAAAATGAAAAGAGAACAGCTGCCGAGGCCGAGGTTGTTAGCTGATTCGTTTTTGTAGAGAACTTTGCTGTAACCACAGTTAGAATTCCTGAGTTTCTGCATCTTAATGTTCCCTGTAGGTCCCATGTGAAATGTGACATACTGCATCACAAACTCATAAAACGAAAACAGATGTACAACATGAAAAGAAATTAAGTGAATACTTGCAATTAAAAGAAGACGCTGTCTCCTTATCAGTATTTGATCCGATTCAAAGTATTTTTAAAATGCTAACTAATGACAGGCAGTTGTACCGTCAGAAAAGACACATTAAGAACCGCACCTTTTTTACTTTGTAAGCTTTTTGTCATTAAATTAATACCAGTGTGGTTTAAATCTGTTCAGGAAAGGATCTCAAAAGGCAAAAGGATTTGTTTTCAGGTGGTCCTAAAAGATGATTTCTAGGCAATTTCCAAGTGGCACACCCCCAACACATCTTATGAGTGTCAGGTGGACCACCTCTGGTTTGATTTCTGGCATAACGGAGCTCTCACTCTTACCTGGGGTACTGATGGGAAGCTCCAGATTGGTGCACATGCTCTCAGGGATCGTTGAGGTGAAATCAGTTGGGGTTGATTTTTGTTCTGCACCACAGAAACATCACTGTGCAGATCTCACTGAGAGTAGAAGGCCACCATTGGAGGTGAGGTCACTGATAATTTGGGGAAAAAAAATAAAGTGGGGAAAATAGGGGGAATTGGGTACAGATTTTGAACTTATACCTATATAGAGAACAACATTAATGCTTAATGCTGTGTACTTTTTGACTGTCATAGGAAATTAGGCGTCCTCAGTTTTGTTTTCTGTTTATGTATTTTTTTTATTTTTTTTTTTTGTGCATAGCTTCGTGAAACAGATGCAAATCTGGGGAAGAGCTCTCGAATCCTGACAGGAATGTTGCGCAGGTAAGAAGAAGGTAGGGCCCTTTCCCTTTTTGAAAAAACACTGACATTACTTCCCTACGTGCTCTCCAGGTCTACTGGTACTTTGTCGTAGTTAATGAATATTCTCTTATGCAAACAATATCTCTCTATGGTCTTTAGTAGGTTGTATAGTAGGTTTATATTTTAGTTTAAACATGCCTCTTACTAAGATTATGACAATTTTACTAGATATGATTCTTGCTTTGACTTTTCTAACCACTATATAAATTGACAATCCATATTCCACGCATGACAATTCATATTCTTATTTGCATCCAATATTGCATTAATACATGAGCTGCAGTGTTAAAAACTTCTATAGTTTTTTTTTTTATTTTTGAAGTGAATAAACACAATAACTCCCTGTCAGATATATATACAACTTGTGTGTTAACTAAAAGCAAGTATCACATAATCCATCAAGAGGAGACTGGTCTTTTACCCTCATAGTTGTCCATTTTTTATTGAAGAGCAGTTAAGTGCATGATGTTCTGAGGCTTTATTTGTTTCTACAGGAGAAATGGTTAATTCTTTCATTAAGAGAAAACAAGAAAAAATCCTGTCTAACACTACAAGAAGCCTTCAATATATAGGAGCTATAAAGGTCTTTGTATGTTGGTAGAACTTCCTTGAGTTTCACTTCAGAGGGAGGCTTTATCCTTTTCTCAAAGCCTAATGAAAAAATAGCTCCACACAGACAAGGGAGGCTTTAAAAAAGCAAAAAAAAGGTTCAGTTTAACGTCTGTCACGTCTCCATTTTACAAACCGCTTCCATTTCTGTCTCTGAACCGTAACGTTAAATTTTTTATTAAGAGTAATATGTAAATGACACCAGCTAAATTTAAAATCCAGGGCAGAAAGGAAGTAGCAATTGAAATAGATGCTTCAATGCTTGTAGACAATCAAAACCAGCACGGCTTGCCGAAAGGCCCCCGGTGATGCGGACTGTAACCAATATTCTGCATATGTCTCCATTTTGTCAAATCTCATTAGAGGGCCTGCCTGCTTTATGTCATTGGAGCTGTCCAGAAATCATTCATCATTTTTAGTGTAAAGTAAATAACATGCAGTTATTTAAATAATATCATATTAATGTTAAAGTTCAGCTGTCACTTAATGGGACGACTTAATCAGACGTAGCATTTAGAAATATACGGCTACACATGGCTTTTCTTGGCTTTCAGGTTAGCGGATTCAAATCAGGATTTATGAGTTTTCTAGCCCAATGCGTTTCGCTGCGTTTATGCTTGATAGAGTCTGCCTCTCTTGTATGAAAGCAGAGACGAGCTATTTTAAATAAAAATAAAGCATTTCTTAATATTGAGTTTGTATAGGTTTTCAAAGTCATTTATAACTGGCAAGCACAAAGAAAACAAACTCTCCCATTGTCTTTTGTTAAGGCTCTCTTGAATACCCCTCTTCTTTCACATTCATTAAAGTGCATGCATCTGTAAGGTCTGGCTGTTTGATTAATATTATTGCCTTTTGCTTCTGTGTTTTAGGGCTAGCTTCATTTTTGTTTTGGTTATAAGGGAGTGTATAAGCAGTGTATGAAATGTTATTTTATAATAAGACATAATAAGACGGGGGTACTGTACATATTACTTTGACTTCACCAGTTCACAGTTAAACCACAGCTATTTTGTGCCACAGAGCGTATGTTCATGTAGAAATAGTGACTTGCTTTCCTTCAGATTCTTTTGTTTCACGGCCTCACTTAAGCTTCATGTAAGCATAAAAGTACCGTGGACTAACAAGTTAATTTTGAAGTACTGGTGCAGTAGAGTGCTGTATGGTAAAAATTCTTATTAAGCTGCAATGGAACATAAAGTGCTTGAAAAGCTTGTGATTTTGAGTAACGGGTGGTCAGGGTTAGGGATGGGGGGCCCTAATGCTTAAGTCTCACAAGAATGAGTTCTGTGCCTTACAGGCACTTTTGCATCTATTTTATAAGATGCAAATGAACGGAACTGGAATATTGTTTTGAGTCAGTGTGTGCATGTCTGTGTCTAAATACTCCAAGTTAAAGTGACTGTAAAGCAGACAAATCCACAGAATTGCTTCCAGTTCCACCATCCTGCAGTCGTGCGACAAGGTGGAGAAAAGTGCCTTTAGCGCTTATCTCATATAAAATGAAACATGGGCTGAGTTATCCCAAAGGGGCTTGCAGGCTCTGTGAGCAGACCTCAAAATCACAGAAACTTCCCAGATAGGGACTACAAAGAGTATTGAACTCCATCAAGTTATTTATAATGTCGATGAAAGCCGTGCCCAGATGACATAAGAGCCTGGCTCTTTTAGTTTCCTTCTGCCAACATGGAATGAGAAGCATTAGGTGTTTTCAGTCATTTATAAGAAAAAGAATATAAGAAAACAGTAAGAAATGAGGTGAGGTTAAACTATTCATATGAAACGAAAGGTCCTCTATGTTCTTTGTATATTTATATGATGGCCTTATTTTTTTTTCTTGAATTTGTCTGTGAGTATGAGGATGATGGTTGTAATTATAAGGTGATATTCACACATTTCGTTGCATTACTTCAATTTATTTAACAATTGTGGTGAGAAGTTTTAGAGCTTTTAGAGTCTAACCTTCTTCCTGCTGGCAACACCATTATTCTTTTAATTATGATTCAGAGGACTCAATAAACAATTAAATATAGAAGGGGACAAACTCATGTGCAGGAAGAGCTCTCAAGCCCCACAGACCAGTACCAGTGCCTTAGAGGGATGAGTAGTCCTGGTACGACCAGTGAATGGACTACACAATGTTTTTCTCTGTTTTCCGTCCGAGAGCGTTAAAACAGTAGAGCATTTATTTATTTGAGCCTGATACGGTTAACTTTTATGTTTCTTAAAAACAGAGTTATGTGTGGGAGAGGACTTCACAGCCCCTGTGAAGTGTTTGTATCTTATTTATTTTTCATCATTATTTATTTAGGAAGCGTAAAGATTTGGAGTAGGTACCAGCATTTGAAGGGGCTGAGCAGCACAAGCTCTCCTGTGTCCCCTCAACCCCCTTGCCTCCTGGATCACAGCGGCGTTGTGTTTTGAAGGAGTGGGCGCATGCTCAGAGATGGCTGATATAGCATGCAGGTGGTCGAGTCAGTCGCCACGCAGATCAAAAGTCAAATCCTTCTGTGAATCTCCCTTTGAAATGGGTATGTGGCTGAGACAAGGCAAGCCTTATCTCTCAGACAGACTGAAAAAAGGCTACATACTGCACTGAAAGAGTTCCATATTCATGGTGTTGCACAAAACACCATGATTTTTTAAAGAACTGTTGTGCGTGAAAACAAATAAGACATCAGTGAGCACATGTATACAGAATATGATTTCTGCAACCCGCATGCATGCTGTGTTTGTAAGTTGGTATTTTTATTTAATTATAAGTTGACATTAGAGCTGAATGAAACAAGTATTCAATTATTCAGGCTCCATTTGCAAGGAGGAGTTAAAAATGATTGATTGTCGAGAGTTCGTCCAGTCATTTTACTGTATGTTCATTGTCTTAATTCTTCCAAATACACATTCATGTGAAAATGACTTTAATTAAAAACAGTTTTTCTTTTGATTAGGTTCAACAAATAGACTCTCAAAACAGAGTTATGTAAAGAATTCTATTCCATTTTCTGCATATTAATCACTTTCTCTCATTTTTCCTACCAAAACCTTATAATTTTACAGCTAGTTATTTAGTTTCAAATATTCAATATTCATTTCAACTCTCTTTAATATCACTTTAACAGTTAGCAATATATATACAGTTGTAGACGTAATTATAGATGATATGTAACTGACCAAGACTATTTTTAAATTTCTTAAATATAATATTGTGTTCTGATCTCTAATTAATGTAAATGCTATGGTATATTTATCATTGACACCTTTTGAATGGTAACAGTGTATTTTCTAAAATAATATATGCCTTTGTTTAATAATTTACCAATGCACTCTACATAAAAATAATTTAAACACAGCAACTTACAATTAAATTAAATGTTGAGAAAAAATAAAACATACAATAAAATGTAACATTGAGGAAACCTAGAGCATTAATATGTAGTTGTTTCCATAGTTTAAAAATACATAGATTAACCCTGATTTCAGAGTTGTGTGACTAAACATGAAACATTTAGGTGCCTGACAGAGCAAGAGCTTGTTTTGGAATGCATAGGAGGTTGTAATCTTCATTTACTGTACAGCCTTCAAGCCTAATAAGTGGTAAACATTTGAAGTGAATTACAGTAGATAATTTATCATACAGGATACCAATATCTCTACAACTCTATAGACATCTCTTGTCATGTATCTATGTATTTGTAATCTTTATATAAGTGTGAGTACATAATTATTGAAAATTAAGGATCATTATTTTATCTTAAAGATGATAACAATGACAACGTTTAGGGTGGCATATTCTATACATATCATGCAGATATGTTTTTTGGTTTACATGAAATTGTAAAGGAAAGGTTTATGATGTCACGTTGATAGCATGAAGTGATGCACATTGAATTTTGCACTGTTGTTTGCCAAGTCCTTTAGTTACTCACAAATTTGCAAACAATGTCAGGAAAAGAGATCAAAGAGCATAGCCTGGAGACATCTGAAAAAAGATGATGTCCTGAAGATTTCCAGATTTAGACTTCCTTAGTATTGGTTAGGTTTGCTTTTTCTTCCAGCTTGGAATATTAAAGATCTGATATGTAGGTCATATAATTAATGAAATGCAGGAATTCCAGTGGGTTGCAGAAGGATGCAAATTGAGGGAGTCTTGGGGCCTTCTTCAAGTCAGTAGTGAAGTCTAACAAAAAGATTTAATATTATTTTTAATTGGAGCTGAAAGATATAACAAATTATAGTTCAGTCTGTTTTTATTCTTTTATTTATTTAGTTTCCTTTTTTCCTTTATGTTATGCTGTGCACTCATTAAAATGCAGGCTTGGAGTGCAGGGGCCCTGGGACTGAAATGTTGCTTA